ATATAGATAGACAGATAGATAGACAGATAAAATAATTAATTAATTAATTAATTAATAACAGCCTCCACAAACCCCCAGGCCCCAAGAACCCCCCCTGGTACGTTCTGCCAGGGATGGGGGGAAGCTTTGGGAAAGGGGCCTGTTTTCATGCTCAACTGTAACACTTCAGGAGAGAAATAAATAAAAAGATAGAGAGACAGATAGATAGATAGAGAGAGAGATAGATAGAGAGACAGACAGATAGATAGATTAATTAACTAATAACAGCCATCACAAACCCTCAGGACCCAAAGCCAACCCCCTTCCTGCTACCTTCCACCAGGGATGGGGGGAAGCTTTAGGAAAGGGGCCCGTTTTCACTTCAGGAGGGAAATAAATAAAAATATAGATAGACAGATAAAATAATTAATTAATTAACTAACAACAGCCCCCATAAACCCCCAGGCCCCAAAAGCCCCCTCCCCATCCCCGGTACCTTCCGCGGGGCTCCCGGGTCCCGCCGCCCCCTCCGCCCTGCCGGGGGGTTTCCTGGAGGCCTCTCCCTGCGCCTTCCCCGCCGCTCTCCCGGACCCTCCTCCTCCTCCTCCTCCTCCTCCCGCTCCCGCTCCGCCGCCATCGCCGCCGTCCCCGGGGCCCGGCGGTTCCGCGTCCTCCGCCGCCGCCGCCGCCCGGCGCTTCTTGCAGGGCAGCATCTTCAGCGCCAGCGCCATGGCGGGACGGGGCCGGGACGGGGAGATCCCGGGATCCCGGCGGGAGGGGGGGGTCGGGGTCCCGCTCCCAGCGATCCCGATCCCGATCCCGCTCCCGATCCCAGGAAACGGAAGCTCCCGGTGCTCCCCCTTCCCCTCCCCTCCCCTTCCCGCCCGCTCCGCGCATGCGCCGCCCGGGACGGGGCCGGTCCCCACCGGGGGGGGGAAACGACACCGGGAGCGACCCCCGACCCCGTCACCGGGGTGACCCCTAAACACCCCCCGAAACCCTCCCGTGCACCCCTCAGTTCATCCCCTTCAC